TTTAATATTTCTATTGTATGTTAAACCTGGCTTAAGAAAATATATTCAAATGATTTAGTTTAGTCTTATTTTATAATAATAATTGTAGAGTAGAATCTAAATTAAATTTTCGTGAAATAAACAATTTAGTTGTTTCAAAAGCTATTGCAGAGATAAAGACTAATGCTACAGTGGGCAATGGAATAAGTACAAGACTAATTCGATATTGCTGTCTATACATTGTTCAGTATATTATGCATATTAATAATGTTTGCTAAACTAATAATATAGGGTAATGGCACTACTTATGGCCACTACTCTGCTCATGTCCACGTCTTGCTTTAAGACCTAAAAATAAACGTTTAGCAACATTGTAAACAAAAATGGTGGTTGGAGAAGGTAAATGAGCATGTGCTTACATGATTGGGTAGGTTTGTAACTAATAAACCAAGGCCATTGGAAATCAGTAAAATAAATAGTTAGTATGTGTAATACATGCAAGCATTACTTGTTGTTTTGGCTAAGAATTTATCTGTAAACATTGGAACAAAACTTAGATTTATTACAGATATTTTTGAAAACTTTCCATTCCAAAGGTAAGTAGATGTTAATACCCAGTGTATTTTGTTTTTAACATCATTTTTTTTTTTAATAAAAATAAATATCATTGTGGCCACCAGTAATGACAAGAAATTAAGAATTCGTAAGTTATGACCACCGCAGTTATTGTATGGGTTGTGTTGGTTATTTAGCTAAGAAGATGAAATGTCACTGGCATCTGACAGCAGTGGCAGTTTCTTAGATATAGAACCAGCAGTGATTATGCAGTTAGGCAAAACATTAAAACCGGGCGAATTTATATATTGGTACAATTTAGTGCAAAAGGGCAAAAGAAGATCGACTGTGTATAAATATGTTGTACGCCAAACTATGGAGAATGAAATAGGAAGCTAGTGCTTAAAAAGCTCAAAGAGAAAACTACGTGTGGGTATATATTGAAAATGAGATTTCCACTGTTCCTAGATCTGATGTTTTAGGACTGTTAACCAAGCATTCTCTAGTAGATCAAGGTTAAAAATTGGTAATAACATTTTTAGGAAGTGTTAAGGTACCATTTAGGAAGGCAAGACCGATACCGACTTCAAGTGGCAGGCAGCAAGCAGCAAATATGTGTTTCATTTAATTTTATGTGTTCAGACGTTTAGAGACTGTTTTCGGTCTCCTTCGCTGTCACTTTGCGCTTGAAGTCGCCTTGCCAAATGTTCATGAAAAATAAATTTCATATATTAGAACAAATTTTAATTTGTTATACCCTACCTATTCTGGGTACTGGGTACTGGGTACATACATGTACTGATGGCCAAAAGTAAAGAATTTCTTTCACTTTTATAAAAAAAATGTAATAAAGAATTACATGCTTTTAACAAAGTAGATGCATATATTATTGAAAACTATATTCTTCAGCCTATCAAATAGTATTTCTATAAATTTTTTCTGTTACAATATTATTAAAAAACAGACTCCACAAAAGCATTTTTGCCTTAAGGTGGCTATAAGTAGTGCCATGACCCTATGTATTTCCGCTTTCATGTAGGAGGGCAGTTGTAAAACCTTTATCAAAAAATCAGATCCTCGAGATTATAAAGATCTTGGACCTATTAGCGTTTTGCCAAACTAAAATCTTATAGAAAACTATAGACGTACAACTTAGAGAACATGTTGACGTTGACTCTTACATGTTGCTACCTGTAACTCAATCAAGTTTTCGTAAAGGCTACAGCTGCACGACTGCTCTACTTCATGTGGTGGATGATATTATTAAATTTCTGGATAAGGGTCTTTGCACAATTTTGGTCCTACTAGATTTTAGTAGGGCATTTGACACTCTTAAATATAAATTAATGGAATTAATACAAAAAACGTGACAGAAACAGCTTCTTAACAGAGAAAGACGAAATCATTGCGTAAAGACATGATTATTTGAGAAATAAACATGGGTTAGTACTGGACATACAGTAACAAAAATTTGGCAAGGTACCTCCATCAAAACTAAAAAATAAGCTTTTATAGAAGAGGTCCCTTGTGGATTAAAAAATCCAACAGGAAAAGGAAACCGTTTAAAAATAACCCAAATTGTTGAAAACAAAAGACTACCATGAGGAAATTGATGGAACTATGTTTGAAAATTGGTTTTAGAACATTATAAAAAAATTTTTAGCCAACTCCGTTATTGTTTTGAATAGTGCATGCTATTACAGTTGATTAAAGCAATCACTACCTACAAGAATATGGATAAAAGAAGATATTTCAAAATAACTTCATTCTAAAAATATTATCAGTGTTCCTAAATCCTCGTACTAGCAAGGTAACATAAAAACAAATTCAAAAGGTCTAATATAGATGAGATAGGCTGCGAAAAAACAAATTAAATTTTCAGATTGCTTCCTTTCCACGCATTAAACTGATCTGGTTACAATTAAAAGGTTATATTCCTCGAAACAATATAAGATTTAAATTACCTGATTAGCAAAATTTGTTTCTGAAGGCAGTTTCAAATGTAAATGTAGAACATTGAAGAAAATGCATTGATCATGTTAAAAAGGTGGAAAATTCATTTTGGAAAGTGGATATGGGTGATTGCCCCAAAAGTGAGTAATTTAGAAGGTAAATGTGTCTGAAAGATAAAAGTCAAAAATAATTGTAATAACTGTGCTTAAGATATGTATTAGATGCATACGTAAAAATCTTTGCATGATAATGTTATGAAATATGTTATTTTATTGAAATATTTGCATTTTAAAAAAATAGCCAAACACGGAACTTACAATCGAAGCACGGTACTGACAATCAAAGCACGGTACTGACAATCAAAGCACGTTACTGACAATCAAAGCACGGTACTGACAATTGAAGTATGAGTCTGACCAAACATTGCACTAACGTGATGCGTTTTAAAAAATATAAGAAACAAACAAACTGTTTATAGTTTAAGAAACATTTATTTCATGAAAAATAAAAGAAGTAAATGTAAAAAGTCTTTCAGTAAAAAAATAAATGCTTGAACAGTCAAATAGTGTTTAAACATACTTTTTTGTTTCTTTAAGGAACTTTAATATTAGAAAATAAGTACTTTATAAAACATTATTAGTACATGTAACTCTTAATTCTGGAATTAAGCATACAAAAATAAAAAAGTAATAATACACTTAAAGAAAAATTAAAAAAGAAAACAAAAAATAATTTAGTTGCCCATAATTGAGCAATGAGTAACACCACAAATAAAAATCTAATTCTGTTGTACTTGTACAGTTGTACTAAAAATATTAGACACTTTTTTTTTCTCAACTGGCCCAAGAACTTGCTTCGTGATCCACCCTGTAGTTTTACATTGTTATGATATTCATTAATTTTTCCATATTTAAAATACTTTGAGCAAGTTGTTTTAAAATTATATTTCTTAATAATTTCCCCGTTGACAATGTTCTTGAAAACCCACTTTTCATTGGTCGTTTTTAAATGTTTATAAGCCTCACGAAGCTAATCTTTAATAACCTCCAAAGAAAAGTTTTTTCTTGACCTCATTAACCTTTTCATTATTTTCGGATTTAGATTCTTCCAAAATAATATTTTTGCGAGTAAAAAGAGTATGGCCGGGGCTTTTATCTGTTTTTAAATTGCTTTTAGTCTTGCGATTTATTTTGAATTGTAATCTCTGATATCCCTTCTTATATTTTTCAAGTTTTTTTCTGTAATATTCTGTGTTCCAATGTTTTCTTTTTTGTCCGATATCGTCTGACGCTATTTTTATTACTAATCCTTCTTCCTCTTTCTCTAAAACTTTCTTGGGTTACGATGTTGCGTATTATTTCTGGTTCATTTTCGTTTTCAGAAGGAGGGGGAGTATTTTCCTGCTTTCCTTTAAGTCTATGAATTCTTGTGTAATTCTTCCATTGTTTCCGTACTTTTCTTTGTTCTCTGGGAGTCATGTTCTTAATACTTTTCCTTATATTTTGTTCTTTCTATCTCTTGTACTTTTGCCTTTTTTTTTTCTCTTTGCTCTTCTCGCTTTACAGGGTCTTCTCTAATCTTTCTTCTACGCTCACGTTCTCTTTCTCTCTTTCGCCGATTACGTTTCTAAGTTGTCAGTTTAGAATATTTATCCATTATTTATTTTCCTTGAATATAAAAAAAAATATTGTTAGTAACATCTATTAAACTAAACGACCGTTAAACATATAGAAAAAGTCAGTTCCGGGTTAGATATGTCAGTTCCGTGTCTTTAATAAAACACGGAACTGACACCACGGAACTGACATTTTTAAGAAAAATTGGTTAAAACACGCTATTTAATTAAATATAAATTAAAATAAAATATAGTACAACTACAAGAAATCATGTTGGATTAACTTACCTTGAAAATGGACATCAACGATAAAATTTTTGCCTAAAATAGGTGAACCCGGGACTGACCAGTCAACACATTACACCCATGTTTGGCCCAATAAATTGTTAACCACGTGCGTTACAACAAATATGCGTGCAAACTTACTTGCATCCTAGACAAATCTAAATGGTTAAAAATGCAATGGAGATGAAATGTCGGGTAGTTCCCCATCCTAAATCATCGTTCTGGCGGTTTTAAGTATAGGACACGGAACTGACCTCATAAGCACAGGACAAAGTTTACGTGGCAATAAAATAGGAAAAATTAAATTTTAATTTGTTACCCAGTGAGTAATCTAACTAATAATAAAGTAGTAAATAGAAAAACATTATTTTTCTTTTAAATAGTTTCAAGAGAGATATATACATAAAATTGTACTTCACTGCTGGGCCCCAATATATCCATAATATGTAGTATACTCTCGATTGATCGAAGTGTACGATTATTTCACAACATTTTTAAAGATACTAAAAATTTTTGGGTACGCCGCTGCCGCATTCCATGCTTATCATCGACGACCCGATATACCTCATTATTCTTTGTTGTGTTGAAGTGTACGTATCAATTTTTGGAAAAAATGCCGAAACAAAAATGTGACAAAGAAAAATATAGGAAAATAAAAAGAAAAATGCGAAAACTACAAGTCATGTTGGAAACAAACCATACTACAGACTCCAGTTTAGACAGTAAGTACAAATAATGTATATAACCGCTAAAAAGTCTTTCATGAATCATGTTTTTTGCCGGCTAAAAAACTATTTCGAAGAATTAAAATTGAATGTGATGTTTGTGCTGCTTTATGCGAATAATTTCAGATCATTGAACGAAATAATATTTTGAATTAGTCAAAAATACTAGGTATCTGTCCTGCTTTATAGAAACGATATCACAATGACCATTTTTTTTTAGTAGAAAACAATATTTGCCCTGCTTTATGCCAGTAATGTCGAGTATATACGTTTTTTGTGAGTTGTAAAACTGTTGTTTATAATTCACATGCCTACAAAATTATTTTGTTTACGCTAGAATTAAATTGAATGTGATTTTTATCCTTTCTTCATGCGAATAATTTCAGATCATTGAACGAAATAAGATTTTGATTTAGTCAAAAATACTTGGTATCTGTCCTGCTTAATGCGAACGATATCACAATGATCATTTTTTTTTTTTAGTAGAATACAATATTTGCCCTGCTTTATGCCAGTAATGTCGAGTATATACGTTTTTGTGAGTTGTAAAACTGTTGTTTATAATTCACATGCCTACAAAATTAATTGGTTTACGCTAGAATTAAATTGAATGTGATTTTTATTCTGCTTTATGCGAATAATTTCAGATCATTGAACGAAATATGATTTTGATTTAGTCAAAAATACTTGGTATCTGTCCTGCTTTATGCGAACGATATCACAATGGCCATTTTTTTAGTAGAAAACAATATTGGCCCTGCTTTTTATGCCAGTAATGTCGAGTATATACGTTTTTTGTGAGTTGTAAAACTGTTGTTTATAATTCACAGGCCTACAAAATTATTTCGTTTACGCTAGAATTAAATTGAATGTGATTTTTATCCTGCTTTATGCAAATAATTTCAGATCATTGAACGACATAAGATTTTGATTTAGTCAAAAATACTTGGTATCTGTCCTGCTTTATGCGAACGATATCATAATAATCATTTTTTAGAGCCTACTTAATTATTTTGGTTAGGCTAGAATTAAATTTAATGTGATAATTGTCCTGCTTTATGCGAACAATTTCACATCATTGAACGAAATAAAATTTTGGTTTACTTCAAAATATGTACTTGGTATCTGCCCTGCTTTATGCGAATGATACCACAACGCCCATTGCGACCGATGTCGAGATGTATACGTTTTTTACGCTCATGAATCTTGGATTTTGATTTATAGTGCTTTTTTCACAAAAGATATTGTGTCAAAACATCAAAATTTTTCTGATGACTCAGATTCAAGCTAAGTCTACGCTCCCAGGGTCAGGTAGTTAATATCTCAGATTGGCTGACACAGATCACTGATGGCTCTCACCTAAAAGACGATATTGCAAATAGATGAGAAAACTATCTTACCAAAGAAAGAGACCCGGAACAGGTTAAAGAACAAAGAGCAAACACTACCGAGCATCGTCGTCAAGGATACCAATACCAAAATTAAACTCTGATATAGGTCAAGTTGCAGGTATATTAAAATTGCATTACAATGAATGGCGGGTTTTAACAAACAATACTTTTGTTTTGAACTGCATAGTAAAATGAACGGCACAGTAAAATTATTTTTTCAAAAAGTCAATCCAAATGAAACCCTCACCAAACAGAAATTTCTTAAAGGCAGAGTTATCTGCAATTAAACTTGAAATTTAAACTTTATCAAAGAAGGGTGCCATTAAGTAATGCGCTCAAATAAGTTCGTATCTAGCTATTTTCTTAGAACAAAACCAAGTGGCAAACATAGGTTTTTACTCAATCTAATATAAATAAATGTGTATGTTATAGCAATCCAATTCAAACTAGAGGAATACCGAACAGTACAAAAAACATTGCAATGTTATATGTATGCAATAGACTTGCAAGATGCCTATTTTTAGTCCCAATTAGAAAAACTTACAAAAAATAGTTAAGGTTTAAATTCAGTAATATACTTTATGAATATTCAATGTTTACCCTTCGGCCTTAGTTCAGCCCCATATATTTTTACCAAAATTATTCACAAATTAAGACCCAAAAATATTATATTGGTTATATAGCTTGATGACCTATTAATAACGAGTCAGACAAAAAGCGAATGCATAAAAAATAAAACTTTCGCTTTAGAGTTGCAAACAAATCTAGGGTTCATAATTAACAAGGAAAAAGCTCAATAGCTCCTTCTGAAACATGCAAATATTTGAGATTTTGTATTTAACTCACATAACTTGTCAATAAGCATACCGCTAGAAAAATAGAAAAATCAAAAACTTTTACAGCAGCTGTTAAAAAATATTGCAAAATACGCGATTTAGCAAAAAAGACACTTTCGTTTTAGTATGCTCTGCAACAAAATATCGAAAAAATTAAATATTTAGGTTTGAAAAGAGGGGGAGTACAATTCTTAAATCATGTTACCGGGAAACATAGTACTAGAAATTGAATGGTGGATTAATAATATACAGTAAACAAGTTTGCTTCAAAAAACGGTGGTGCAAAATTGAAATTTTCTCAAATGCGTCCCTACCGGGGTGAGGGATTTTAAAAATAGAATAAGGTGTATCGGTGGTCTGGAATTGTTCTGAATAACATATTAATTACTTAGAATTCTTGGCACCCTTTTATGGCCACAAGTATTTTGCAAATAAAATTGTGTAACTGCAATATTTGATCAAGAAATGAAAACACCACAGCCATATTACACATTAATAAAATGGGTGTTATAAAATTTAAATGACCTTACAAAAATGATATTGGTATTGGTGTGAAAAAAGAAACATTTTCATTTTTGCTTTTTATATCAACTCAACAGATAATAAAGAAACAAAATTGACTTATTTGCAACCATAATAAATAAAAAATGTAAATATTATGTATCCTGAATCAATAGCGGTAAAGGCATTTACTCTAAACCGGAAACAAAAAAAAAAAAAAAAACAAAAAAATATATGCTTTTCCTCCTTCTACGGTTACCCCCAAATGCTAGAAAAATAAAAAAAATTGTATCAGATGAAACTGAAGGTATAGTGGTGTTGTACCGTATTAGAAAACTCAATCATGATATCCACTTTTTAACAGAGTAGCAATATCAAAAATAACATGATTGGTAGGGGGGTGGGTTGGCTCAGTGGTTAGAGTCATGACTTTGAGATCGGAAGGTCTCAGGTTCGAATCCCACCGTTGGCCGGGATTTTTTCATTTAATTTAATTATTTAAAATTAATTCTGATGCCTTGGTAGGATTCCCCACTCGACCATTCACTGTTGGGTTCTAATTAACAGTGCTGTTCCTAAAGTGGCGCTGGGAAACAGTAACAAAGCCTACACAAAACACGAGGCTAATGGCCGTAGTAGTCGACGCCGATGACACCAAATTAAAAAAAAAAAAAAAAAAAAAAAAAAAAAAAAACATGATTGGTACCATCAAATAAATTACTTTTGTCTCCTTTTAAGGAAGAATACCCCCTTAGCAAGACACTTGCCCTGGCAGTAGCGAAATTATCCGGGAAGCACGTCAACGAAATAATACTCTAGAATCGTGCAACCCTATAATTTTAGCCTCTTGGAGTAACTACTCCAAAACAATATGGATCATCATATAAAAATAAGTGGTGGGAGTTTTTTGCTCGAAACAAAAAACTGACAAGTTTAAGACGTCGGTAAAATAATTGCTTAATTTAAAAATGGGGAAGAATCTTTAATCAAAAGATTCCTGGAAGAGGTTTTTTGAATAAATCTAACTTATCCTAAATACACATCTACTTGGGACGAGTGTAGTTCTATCTTATCTAAAAATCTTACACCCCAACGAAAATCTTTCTCTGGAAACTTTAACAAAGAAATGCTGCATATTAATTGCATTGACATGTTCAAAGAAAACAAATATTTTCAAAAATGAAAATATCTGACAAATATTAGAGAGAGAGAGAGAAAGTTGAGTTCATTATAACTGAAATGCTCAATACCTCAGCTCCCGGGAAAAAACAACCACTTTTAGTCTTTAAATTTTTTAAAGATGATCTGACTTTGTTCACAGCCTGCGTCTTAATACAATACCTACAGTTGACCAATCCTCTCAGACAAGGAGATAAACTAAAATATCTCCTAACAGTCAATTAACTGATACACTTAGTATCTTCACAATCATTCGATTGCTGGAAAAAGTGGCGAAGACACATAGTTTTTAACAGGTTATATTACTCTACATGACATTGGTTATACGAAAAGCTGCTAAAAATCAAGTAACTTCAATAAATTTACAACAAAGCTGTTTTTCAAAATTATGGGGATCTAGTTCTTAAGGATTACAAAAAATAACCATTTAGTTTCGCTAAATATACGTTTTTTTGTGTTTAAATTTAGCTGAATTCAATGTTAGATTTATACTCGTATAAGTGTATATAAATATATACAATGGGTACAGAATGTAAAAAAAAAAAAACAATTTGAAAATAATTTTTCCTCTTTAACAAAATATTTGGTTTTTATTAAAAATCAATCGTGTTTCTCTCTATGATTATGATCGCTGTCGATCTCTAAACATCTACATATTATGGATATATTGGGGCCCAGCAGTGAAGTACAATTAATGGATTAAACGACTTACCTGAAAGGAAGTTCAATCCAAATTGTACGAACTGCTGGGCCCCAATATATCCACTTCCCTCCCCTCCTGTGAAAAACCATTTTATAACCAACCCCAAAAGAAATCAGCGATCTAGGACCACAACAAAATAATGAGGTATATCGGGTCGTCGATGATAAGCATGGAATGCGGCAGCGGCGTACCCAAAAATTTTTAGTATCTTTAAAAATGTTGTGAAATAATCGTACACTTCGATCAATCGAGAGTATACTACATATTATGGATATATTGGGGCCCAGCAGTTCGTACAATTTGGATTGAACTTCCTTTCAGGTAAGTCGTTTAATCCATTAAGTATGTATGCAAACGTCGGGTTAGGGACAGACACGGGACTGACAT